TTGATACTTTGCCAAAGACGAGCATTAGCGAGACTTGATCCTGATTCGGACGTAAATGCTGAGATATTGCGGATTTAAATCTGTACAGCATGGGCAGACGTACAGAAAATATATAAAACGAAATGTTGTTTTTTTTTTAATGCATATGTGGTGAGACTTGTAAAAGTCAACGAGCAATGTCAGTGGCAAGTATAGACGTCGTAAAGCAATGAAACGACGTCTTTTTCGTCACATTTTTCACGGGATGCTGCACAACGAAAAGAAAACCGCGTACATAAGTTTCTATAAGGGTATATTTATACATATATATATATATATACAAACAACGTATAAGAGTTTGCGAACTGATAAATGGACAGGGATTTAAGAGGCGCAACCGCCGACGGAGCAACGAGCTCACGTTTTTCATCTTGGGACTTTTCTCTCTTTCGGCTACTTTAAGTAATTGCGCGCACATCCCACAAAAGAATGGAAGATACTCCTCTAAAAGAATCGAACACAAAATCGACTTGAGAGAGAAAATCCCATCTTGATTAGTTCTCTTTGAATGAATTACATTCTTTCGATAAAAAATTTCTTTTTTCTTTTCTACCTTCGGAAAATAAAATTTATTTCAATTCCTTCGCGAAAGCAATTAAATTTCCACATGTTAATAATATTATTTTAATTATTATAAATGAAAAATATTTATAGTATATTTTTATGTAAAAATTATATTTCTTAAATAGTTTCATTATTTGTAAATAAATAAATAATGAATAAATTAAAAAAATATAGTAAATAAAAATATACTATAAATAAATATATTATATAAATAGAAATAAGAAAATAAAATTAAAACATACCTGATCTTCATCATGAAGCAGTTTTTGAACACTTTTTGGAAAGCACACACGAGATTTTTACATTTTTCAAATTGATTTTAAATAAAATAAATATTCAACAAAAAATAAAACACTATTTTTTAACCATTAAAAACGAAACACGATTTTAAAATTCGAACACTCACGGTAAAAAAAAATTTGGTACTTATTACTGAACTACAAACAATAAAATTAAAAACACTAAAAAAAAAAGATAAATTAAAATAATTCAAATATTTTAGGCTATTTACTTTAAAGAATAAAAACAAAAAAAGGAATAGTATAAAATTATCACGGAAAAGTTTTGAGAAAAAACAAAAGAACTTATTTATACGCAACGATAATATAAACACGTTTAAACAGTTCAAATCCGGAATAATAACTGATGGAGTTAATTTAATTTAAGCGCCAATTATTTTCTACCTGACCAAAATAATTGTAAACATACCGCGCTCACTTCGAAAAGATAATTTCAAGATTACAATACTACATTATTTTGATGAATATTTATAATTTATTTTTCTGAAAATATTACATTGTTTTGAAATATAATTTATAATTATTTAAATATTAAATTTTCAATATAAATTTTTTTGAAACTTTTCTAAAAATTCAAAATCTTCCGAAAATGTAAAAAAAAAAATTTTTTTAATAGTAAATATTCTGTGGATAAGAAAAAAAAATTATTTTTTAATTATTTCTATTTTGATGATTTTGTTTATTTCTATATTATGATTATTATTATATTATTTTTTAATTATTTCTATTTTTGTGATTTTGATTATTACTCATATTACTATAAATTATTTTATTTCTAATTTCCATCAATTTGTAATATTTTTCCATTCTTTAAAATAATATTTGTTTTAATATTTTTTTTTAATTTAAAAATTTTATAATCTAAAAACTATTCTTAGTAAACATTTCTAAAATAATTATATTTTTAAATTAAGATTTATTTTTAAAAATAGAGAATAATTTTTAAATGAAAATAAAATTTTCAAAATAAACCGAGTAAATTTCAATATAATAAATTAAATCTATATAGCTGTGGTTTTGAAATTTGTTAACACAACATCCCTTAGCGGTATATTTACAGTCCATGTATAAATTAAGGGCGGTCACCTTGAATTTTGTCTTGTCCATAGCAAATAAATTCGTTTATAAAATTTATTCCAAACCTTTCGCTAACGTCAGTTGTAATTTGAAATTTAAACAGTTTTAAAGTGTTCAATTTATTATTATCGTGTGTTTTTTTATTTACGTTTTTTCTGCAATTAACCGCGTAATATGTAAAATTTAAAAATATATTTTTAATGAACTCAATTACATTTTCATTTGATTTAAATAAAAATTTTTTTTCCGGGTGTGTGTGTTGTTCCGGCAGCTGATATAATTTTTCCATTACAACTTTGAGATGAAACAAGGACCAATAATAATTTATCAAGGTTTGAAAATATTTTTAATAAATAATATAATAACAATCATTTTTATTTTTTATTGTGACATTCAAACTTTTTTTCATTGTCAATTTAATTATTCTTTTTTTCTTAGTAAAAAGTTTTTTCGTTGTCTATATATATATATATATAGAATGAGAGTTGTAGAGGTTGTTAATTTTTGCATACATATTGCGTGCTCTGTCATTATGTAAATTTTTTTTCCATCCTTTTTCGTCGACTATTTTTCCCCAATTGCAAAATGTAGAAGAAGCAATTCTCACAGAACACTTTCTCCCCGTGACTTCCGGTAAATGTTCACCGAATAATAGAGCAATTATGCATACGATGGACTAACCATAAGTCCCTAATATAAAAGTCTCGCTATTAAAGATAGTTCTGAGATCGCAAAATAATTTTATAGCCTATAAGCATTCAAAGCCAATGTCTCGAAAGAAAGAGAAAAGTATTCAAAGTCTTACTAAAGCTTTAATAGCTTCCAATACTATATATATTGTAATAATTTTTTTTAAGCTACCAAAAAAATATAAAATAAAAAACAAAACTTGGAATTTCTTTACATAGGAAAGTTTATTTTATATAATTTTCAAAATAAATATTTAAATAAAAATTTTGCAATTTCAGGGCAAAAATAAAAATAATTTTAATACTTTTTAGGGTTTTGTGGCATAGGCCCGAAAGCCTTATATTTTCGCTTTGGCGTCTCCCAGATAGCACGGAAACTTGCGACAAGTTCACCGTGAAACCTTGTCAAGCTTGCCGCGCAAGCTTGCTGCAAGCTTGTCTGAGCTAGCGGAATGTCCCACCCAGGGTTGAAAAACGAGGGTTAAGAGCAAGATTTTTTTATTCTCTGATAGTTGGTCGAGTAGGTTCTTGATTAGGGTCTTTGGTTAGTGTCTGTCAAACCCGGGTTCAATTCCCAGTCCCCTCAAAATTGTTTCGAAAATTTTCTCGTTAAGTTTCCAAATAAAAATAAACAGGACATAATTAATAATAATAAACGTCACAAGGATTTTCAAATTTAAAAAAAACAAATAAATTTTTTTTTAATTTAAAATGTATTTTTTAAAAATTGCAGCAACCTTTCCAGAAGCTTGTTGAAATTCTCCTGCAACTTTACGTAGCAAGCTTACAGCAATCTTTCACGGCAAGCTTGCCGCAATCATTCTTAGTATGCTTGCAGCAATCTTTCATGGCAAGATTGCAGCAACTTTTCCTGGAAAGCTTACAGCAAGCTTTCACGGCAAGCTTGCCCTGGGTGGGATATTTCGCTAGCTCAGACAAGCTTGCACGGTGAACTTGCCGCAAGCTTGCTGCAAGTTTCCGTGCTATCTGGACTGTCTGTCCGTCCGTCATACACTGGTACGGTTGCTATGGTAAGGGTGCTCGCACAAGAAAAGTCGGAGCAGTGTGCAGGATATGATTCAAATGAGTTAGAAAATGACAGAAATATCGCTCTTTCTTTTTCTATCTCATTTGAAACACATCCTGCACACTGCTCCGTCTTTTCTTGTGCGAGCGCCCTAATAGTTACAATAGAAACCGTATCCACGACAACCGTTACCGTAGCAACCGTTTCCATGACAACTGTTACCATAGCAACCGTTACTTAGGATTTTTTTTTCTTATAGGAACGATAATATTAATATTGTCCACGAAATCCTGCAATGGAGGCGCCATGTGCCTACTTTTCTCATTTTTTTTTTTTTTTTTTTTTTTTTATTGATTTTGATATATAATTTGAAAACGTCCCTTCATCGCTTCTGGTTCAATAAAGAAATAATTAGATAAAAACTTTTCGTAAGGATGCAATCTCCTCTCAGACACAACCCTCGGCTTTTCTTATGTATTGGCATACAAGTTTTAACTCTCTGCCATTTCGAGTAAAAAAAAAAAAGAACCCGTAATTCACGCAGTGGAAGTTTTAATATATTTAAAACCCTCTTAAAAGCAGATTTTTTTTTAGCTGGCACACGATATATGCGAGAAAAAGAGGAGCCTCACAGTGGGAAATGAAGCTTTAATAAATTTTTATTCGATCTCTTTGGAATTAAAAAAGACGGGCGTCAACGAGGGTAAACTTGTGCGGTTTGTAAAAGGAATTTGTTAATCCGCTGAAGCGACTCTCTCTCTCTTTCTCTCTCTTTCGTATTGACTGGAGAATCTCGTAAAAAGCGTCCAAGCGACGCTCAGGTTTCACAGATTAACTTTCTCGACCGGAAGTCCTTCAACGAAATTGCGGTTGTACTCGTATATATATATATATACACGCGAAGCAATGAAACTCCTCTCTAAATTTTTTTTTTATTCATTGCTAAGAGGAAAATTTCATTGATTTTAAGAGAGAAATTATTTTTTTCATTTTTATATTTTCCATATTTATTTTTGTAATAATTTTTTTTAAAAATATTGAATATTAATTTTTGAGACGAGTTTTTTCTATATATTTTTCGCCCCTATTTTTTTTTCTTTCAAATAGAATAAAAAGAAAAATTTGTAAAACCACTGAGACTTTAAGCCTGGGACTGCGGGAATATATACGGAAATATTAATGGATAGTGTGTGCGTTATATACATGAACCACAAAGTAAAATGAATTCTTCTCTCGATGTACTCTGTCTTCACATATATATATGTATAACTGACCACGAGTCTTTTGTCAAATAAATAACAAGGATTTAACTTAAGAAAAAATAGTTTATTTAAAATAAAATTACAAAAGACCAAAGATCAGAAAAAAGGAAAATAGATTTTTCAACGATTTCAATAAAAGAAAATACAGAATAGTAATTTTTTCATATTTTTTGAGAATTATTACTATTTTTACATTAAAAACGCTTACTGGATACTGCGCGCGCATTCCATTGGAAGTGGGGGACAACGCTCGTCGATTAGAGCTCGAACGCTATTCCCACTCCTCACATGCTGCGCGCGCAATATTTTTCTATTTCATCAAAAAAAAAATACAAATTTCGTATTATTATTATTTTAAATTATTTTTAAATTATTCTTTTTATTTATTAAATTGATTTAAAAAAAGTTGTTTTCTTTTTTCTATGAAAAAAAAATTTACCAAATCATATTGTAATCATATTTTCTATAATATCCATTAACAATTCGTGACAGTCAACAATACATAGAGAGCAAAAATGCAGAAAATAATGTTGCAACTAACCAAAAAAGATTAACAAAAATTGTACTACTTGAATTTGATCTACGTAAATTATTTGTGAATTCTTCAGTCAAAATTACAGTTTTTATCCATTTTTTATAGAAATAAACATCAGTGTAAACACCTGGAATTTTTGGCATTGCACAACCAATTCCACCGGAAACAACACCGGTCAATTTATTATTACATAACATTCCTCCACCAGAATCGCCCTGTAATATTTTGCAAAAAATTTTTATCACTTAAATTTCAATAAAAATAATAAAGTTAATAATTATAAAAACTGAACCAATTTTTTTTTTTTTGAAAATTAATTTTTAATTTTTACCTGACATGCGTCTTTTTCACCCTTCTCGTAACCAGCGCATAACATTCCATTGGGAACAAGTGATATATTCACAAGTAATTCACGACATTTTTTTTGTGTAAGCAAAGGGAGTTTTACAAACATTAATACATTGCTGACTTCTTTAACGTCCTGAAAAATCATTTTTATCCGCAGAATTAAATTTAAAAAAAAAAATCTTTTTTTTTACTTTTTTGTAAGGGGAGGGGGGGGAGAAATTTACCTCTTTTAGAAAACCCCATCCAGAGACATCACAAAAAGTTCCAGGTGTAATTGTACTATTTGGTAATTTTGCCACCTGAATAGCTTTATTTTCAACAAGTGGCTTTTCTAACTGCAAAATAAGTTTTTTTTTTAAATTTCAATAATATGTAAATACTTATACAAATATATAAATATATTTATTTAAATATAAATAAATATAAAAACTTTTTTTTTTTGTATAAACAATACCTATTTTGTTTTGTAAACCAAATTATTATTTTTTTTTGCAAAGAAAGAAAAGTACAAAAAAAGGTTTTGAAATGATAAAATACCTGTAAAAGTGCAATATCATTTTCTAAAGTATCTTTATCAAATTTTCTGTGTATTGTTATTTTTTTAACAATTCTCTCTTGTCTAGTAACTGAAGCTCCTTCCAGTAAAATATTTCCAGCTACTATTGTAATAGATGTCGGTGGTATTTGTATTTCCATGTGTTGTCCGCTACAATTTAAAAAAAATTATCGATTATTTATTGTTAATAATAATTATAATAATAATTATAATTATTTTTATTAATATTAATATTAATTAATTTTTATGATATTTAATAACTTACATGAACATGCAATGTGCTGCTGTTAGAATATATTTTAAATTAACGATACTACCACCACAAAAATGATTTTGACTACCAGTTCTTCTTAATGACACCTAAAAAATATTTAATTTAAATATAGCTAATTCTTTTTTTTTCGTTCTCGACACATTAAATGTAATTGTCAAATTAATTACTTGCTGTGGAAATTGTCCTAAATAAGCTTCTGTTCCATTAACTATACGACCAATAAGTTTTGAATTATTATTTAATAATTTTTCATTTTTTAAACTTTCTTCATTTTTCAAAATTTCTTTATTTTTTAAATTTGTTTCATTTTCTAAATTTATTTTCTTTTCAAAAATTGTTGAATTTTCTAAATTTGGTTTCGTTTCAAAAATTGTTGCATTTTCTGAAATAATTTTCATTTCTGATAATATAGTTTCGGAATTAGTTTCATTTTTTAAAATTGTTTTATTTTCCACATTCACATAATCTTTGACAATTAATTCATCATCCAATGCAACTTCATTTTCCAAAAGTGCTTTATTTTCCAGTATTGAATTTTGAATAACATTTTCTTGCGCTGAAACAATTTCCCAAAAAAAAAATGTTATTTTAAAAATTGTTTTCAACTTATTTCTATAATTTTCAGTCAATTTATGTAAAAAAAAGTACCTTTAAATTTATTTAAAAAAAAAAAACAAAAGTGAAGTAATTTAAAAGTATTTTCTATAAAATAAATTTCCTGGCAAAAAAGAGAAAGAGAGAGAGAGAGAGAGAGAAATTTTAAATCGGAGAATATATTTTCGATTTTCTTGGACATCAAATAATAATCAAAATAATAATATATTCAGTGCTCTCTCTCTCTTTCTTTCTTTAGAGCCATAGAGAATTTCAGAAAGTCACTAATGGGAAGTTATGTCTTTGAATTTCATAAATTTTCATTACACAGAAAGCAAAATAAAATCAAATAATCGTATATATACTACCGTAACCTGTCTAATATATAATATCTCAAAATGTAAAATTTTCAACAGAATATGTCTTGATATACAACGTATGATTTTGATTTTATATGAAATTGCGAAAAGAGAGTACTAGACCAGACACAGACACAATAATCATATGTCATAATTTTTTTTTCACCATTACAAGCTTTCAAAAATTACACATGTATATGTCAAACAAATATTTAAATAATAATAAAAATAATAATAATATATAATAATTTATAATAAATATATAATACATTATAATGATAAATAAATAATAATAATAAGATTTTTAAAAATTTGTCTTATTTTACTTATTACTTTTTTTGAGACAAGTCAATCAAGTGAATATTTTATTTCTTACACTTGTATATACAATATTGAAAGCTAATAAAAATATGATTGAAGGCTCTGTCTGTTTGATACAGTAACAAAATGATCGATACGATTCTATACTCGAGAGACTTTGACAACGTTTTATAGAAATGAAATTCTATTTTTATTAATATTTTTTTGCAAAAAGTAAATTTTTACATACGCTGCGATAAAAAAAATACTAATAATAAACAAATTCTAATCAAAATTATTATCTCATTTAAAATTAGAATAATTGACAATCAAAAATATAAACATCAATGTGATTAGAATTATGATAAAAATAATACTACAATGCTAAACAATAACAATTATTTTTTGAAATATAACATAAAAAGAACAAAAAAAAGTAAAAAGAATAAATAAAAAAATAAAAAGAATAAAATAAATTTTTTAATTATACACTCAGAAAAAAAGATATGTTTGAATCAAATGTACCATTTTTTTATATTTACCCAATTTTTTGGTTAGTTCAAACAAAAATTGTTTAATTCAAATAAATATTTATTTGATCTAAATAACTGTTTGTTTTATTTTAATAAATTTTTTGAACAAAGAAAAAATTTGATTGAGCTAAATAAACCTTTGGTTTATGCAACCAAATGTTTGGTTAACTGTATATCAATGCATTTATTTTGTTGATTTAACCAAAATTTGGTTGCTTTAAACGAATTTTTTTCTGAGTGCATAATAATAAAATGCTTGGTCTGTCCTTCTGTCCTAACTTGAAGTGTTGATCCTTACATTAGGTAATATGTGTTGTTTAAAGGTAAAAAATAATAGAGACATGCTGTTTAATTTTATTTAACTTTGTAAGGGATTTTTTCATTTTTTTTTTTTTTTGTAACGTGTCAAATTTGTGTCAAATTTTGAAAATGACTTTTCTCATTTTTGCCAAAGTTGTATAATTGTGTTTCCAAATTTTGGAGTTGGTTTCTTTAAAATTTCTTTTTAATAAAACAAAAAAAAAATCCAATTTCGCGCGTTTAATTTTGCTAGTAAAAAAAATAAAAAGAATATAAAAAAAGTATAAAAATAATTAGAATTGTATAGTAAATTTTCAAGAAAGTAACAAACTATAATTTTATAAAAATAATCCTTTTATGAAAAAATCATACACTTTTTTTTTGCATTTATCACAGTGAAAACAAGATTGAAATTTAAAGGCACTCACCTTGAACGGAAACTGTCACAATATAACACGCGAGAGAAATTAAAAAAATTAGACACATAGTTTATTTTTTATTATTATTATTATTATTGACAATTAGACTAATTTAAATCTTTTGTATTCTTGATATTCAACCATGTATGAATAAAATTTCTATCAGAATAACTGACTGTTATCAGTATAAGTTTAAACATTTATCACAGACAAAACCTTATCAATTACCTTGTATTAATATTGTAATCGAGATTCCACATTGTTATATTGATAATTCAAATTTTTCTAAGAAATATATATTAATTGCCACCTACATTGATAAATTATGATTACGACATTTTTTCATTCTTTGGAAAATCGAAATTATTTATCATTATTATTATTTATTATTATTATTATTATTATTATTATTTATTTTTATTTCATATTATTTATTTGTTTTATTATTGTTATTGAAAATTTTTCATATTTTACGTTTATAAACGAATGAAACAAAATTGATGCAATTTTAAGGAAGTTATGACAATAAAAATAAAAAATTATTAAAACTCTGAAATTTTGAAAAATTTATATATCGCAAATGACGATGGAATATATGTTATAAATAGAAAAAAAAGGAGAATAGAGAAAATTTGTGAATAAAAATCGTTACATATGTCCCATTTATACAAAAATGAAGACATCAGATAATTATAGCGTGGTAATCTTAGGAGTATATGTTGATAAAGTTTCGTCATCATGTGTGACATTAATATTTAGTGTCAAACGGAAATTAAAAAAAGTACACAGCAAAAAGAGATTTTAGAAGTACGGTCACAAATAATTATCAAAATATTCAATATTTCTTTTTATTTTTAATTATAACAATTTTTTTTTGGAAAATTGAAATTTTTTTGAAACAAATTTTTTTTTCATTAAAAAAATGTATTTAGTTCAAAATAAATATATTTACTCGAACCAAATAATTTTCATTTGAATCAATTAAATGATATTTATTTTAAATACAGAAATTATTAATTCAAATATACTATTTAATTTAAGAAAAAAATTATTTTGTTTAAGTAAAATATTTATTTGATAATATACCGTTTATTTGAATTAAATTTTTTCTTTTTATAATCAATTAAAAAAAATTAAAATTTTATTTACTAAAAAAAAAAATCTCGCACACCACTTGAAAACAAGTTGTGATATAATAATTACGTTTTTCAAAAAAAAAAAAAGGTCAATCATTGAGATAATATTAAGTAAAAGACGAAGAACATATTAAAAACACAAAATTGAAAAAGAAAAAAAAAAAAAGAACGTTGTCGCTTATTAAATCCGTAAAAATATAATGTAGAGTGAGGAAAAAAAAATCCATTCTCTGAAGAGAGAAATGAAATGCACATGGCGCAATAACAGTGATAATGAGATTTTTCGACGGTATAATAACAGAGGCGTTTGGTTAAATCGGTTATCGCGCGCAGCTTCTTATGTGGTCGAAATGGCTACTTTCTCAAGAGACGGATATAAAGACAATTGGCGGGTGAGTGCGCGAAAGGATGAAAATAAACGGTGCTCATATATACCCGCATTCCGCACAAGAGACTTTTTGAAGAGAGAGAGAAAGAGAGAAAAAGAGATCATCTCATGGGTCATTCCACAGATGTTGAAAGAAACAGGGAGAACATACTTGTTATATTCTTTTACTCGTAAATATATCCATCTTAGGGTGTAATTATGTCTTGGGAGGAGGATAGTTATTATCCTTGCAACGTGTTCACCGTATAAATAATGAATGATTACAGGCCCACTTAAGCTCACAATTTATGTTACGCTCTGATCATTGAGGTGTCCATCTTTCTTTTGCATTTTCTTTCTAGCAAGCCAATGGTTTAATTGACTTGATTGCTTTCCTAGAAGTAGACAAGTTACGCGATTCACAGTATTACTATTATTATTATTTTTGCCGAGTAACACGTGCTCGACAATGATCAACTTCAAAAATTCCATTTTCAGTTACTATATTATTATTTTTTTTTTGAAACAGATAATAAATAATAAAGAAAAAAAACTAAAATAAATAAAAAATTAAATTTTTATTTTATTTTATTTTACTTATTTGGTAACTTGTATTTTGTTTATTATTTAAATTTATTGTATTCATTTTGTTTTTATTTATTTTTTAATTTTTCTATATATTAATTTATTTTATTTATTGATTTATATTTTTGTTAATTGTTCTTATATAATTTTGTATATATATTTTTATTTATTTACTCAATACTCTGACTACCTTTTTTATTTTTGTTTTTTAAAGTTTGTAATAGTCTTCGTCTCATATTAATTTAATTTCTTTGTATTTTTATTTGTTGTTTTTAATTTTTTATAATTTTGTATTACTAGACACCCTCAAGAGGAAATCAGTGTGATTTCGAAACGTTGGAGTAAATTTAATTAAAAATAAAATTTGTCCGAATGTTATCGTTTTTGTTCCTTAACCTTTTAAATATATTCTCTCGGACGTTAAAGAATTCTTAATTAAAAAATTAAAAAATAATAAAAAAAAACAAAAAAAATGTTCTGAAACAAATGTATATTTATTTAATACAAATAAATTTTATTTATCTCAAATAAATGGAAATAAAATATTTCCCAGGATGTAATTTGTTTTAAGACAATTTTTTTCACCGTAAAGGTAGAAAAGTTATTTAAAAAAAAAAAAAAATTCTTTAATACATTTTAAGTAGAAAAGGAAGTTTACTGTCAGACAAAGATATAAATCACCACTGAATTTGAAACGTAGGTCGCATTTGAATTTATATCAGAAGAATTTGTCGAAATAGTATAAAAAAATAAAATCTCCAAATGAGAATAAAATTCCTCTCATAAATTACTTTTACATTTTATTTTCAATATACGAATATTCATCTACAAAAAGGAGGATTTTTATTCTTTATTTGAGAATATTTATATTAAAGGATAACTTTTAATCTTTTCTCTTTGATTGAATTTATTCATTTGCATTTAAGATTTTTTTTCTATAATTGAGATTATTCCTCTCAAAATTAAACAAATTTATGCTGTAAAAAAGATTTTTAAAGTTTTATTTTGTTTTGTTGTGCGCATCTTCAGACTTATTCACAAAGTGACAGTTCAAAATAAAATGGACACCGAGCTGAAAAACGTATTATTTGAAATTGGACTCGGAGATTACGTTTCCAGTTTTGAAAGTAATTGAATTTTTATAACTTTTTGTTGACTCTTTAAATTAACTTTCTTGTTGCTAAATTACGTTTTATAGATAATAAGGTTCTAAATCTTCAAACGTTGAAGCAAATTCAAAAAGTCCCTTTCCTGCTGCACGAATTAATTAAACCTATTGGAGATTTGGCAATTCTTTTATCCCGTTTAGAAGAAATTCAAAAAGCCGAGGTAACATAAATGAAAAATTTAAAGTAAATATAAATAAATAATATTAATAAATGATCGATTTAATGTGAGTTTTAAAGGTTAACGGCGTAAATAATAAACTTTCATGTAACTCAAAAATATTAAATCTCAAAATGTTGGAAACTTTTTGAATTCGGTATATCTCACGTTCTATTTGAAAAAAAAACTTCGTTTTAGTTTTGAAAAATTTATAATGAAAAATCGAAAATAATATATTTGGTGTTTTCCATGAATTCTTAAATAAAAAAATATTTAAACAATTTTACTTATGTTTTAATTTGTCAATCCAATTATAAAATTAAAAAGGTCAAAATAATCTTCAAAACTTTCTGTTTAATAATAGATTTTTTCAGGATTATTAAGAAGAAGGTTTTAAGATTATTTTGATCTTTTTATTTCTGAAATTGGACTAACAAATTAAAAGGTAAGTAAATTTACTTTGAAAAAGTCATGTAGCATCGATCAATTAAAAAAAAATAATTAAAATATAAGTTTACTAAAAACGAAAAATAAAATAAATATATAAAATAAATATTGCGTGCTTTTCCTAGAATGATCACTCTGAATTTTCCAATACCAAGAATCCAAACGATTTCGCAGATCCTTCACTTTTAAATGATGATCTATTGCGAGAAATAAATGAAAATTATATTGTACAACCTGGATGCAGCCAGGATATTCTATTTCATAAAACACCCAGCGGTAACCAACAAATTATTAAAAGTCTTCTACAGTCCAATAGTAGCAAAGATATTCAAATTATTGAACAAACTGTACAATCAGAACTCAACTGGAATCAAGACACTGAAAATATTGAAAAACTTGTAAACTCTATCTGTAGTGACAAAACTGAAATTGTTGACAATATTGGACAACCCAGCTGCAGTAGAAAAAGAGATAAACAGACACCAAGAGAAAGTAAATCTAAGCGCGTTTGCAAATGGATTGTGAGTCAAGAAATTTTGCAAATTGTAAGATTTGATTTTTAAAAATTTTTGTAAAACTTCCTGCAAACAACCTTTTAGAAGGACTTTTTTCATTTAAAAAAATACTTTAATACTTAATACTTTAATATTATAAAGATATTTTTGTTTCTAGAACCTTGAGGATTTATTAAAAAATTCTAGTAAAGGAAGGACCATCTTGCAATTTTATCAACAAAATAAATTATTGAATTCACAATCTCGTTCAATTTTGATTCACATTGTTGGTGAGAAATTGTTAGAGCTGAACAGGAAGTAGGTTTAATAATTAACTAAATTATTTTTAATTTGTGTATATCTAATTATTAAAATAGTAATCATGAAAATAAAATTTATTTTCTTTTTTACACACAGCCCCAGTGCAAACGATTATGAACAAGTTGACACAAAAATTAGGCAACTATTTCCATCGGAACCTCAAGTGAGTGTGATAAAGTTTTATGGAATTTTCTAAATTATATACGATTTGAAGTGAAAATTAAAAAAAATTCATTTTTTTTATTTTTGAACCGTTTTCTGAGCACATCTGTAGAATAAGAAATAAGAACCAATATAAAAATTCTGACCTCGGATTTTTAGTTATAAAACCTTTTCTTTTCTAGTTCGTTTATTTTATACGTGCAAAAGTTAATGGTAAAAATCAAAAAAATCACGAAGGAAAGTTGCCAAATTATATTAGAAACGTAAAATATCGCAATGCCAAGTTACTACACCAAGAAGGCGTAGTAGATACTGAAGATTCGGATGAAGCAGAAGTGAATGTTGAATCGAAAGTGAGCAATGACGTGTTAAATGCAGATGGATGGTTGAAAGAAAATTTAGAACCCTGGTCTGAAGTCGAAAAGAAATGGAAATCCACACATCATTTTCGTTTAAACAGTCTGACCTCATCTGAAAACACATTTCTGCCAATTAGTCAATATTATGAAAACTATAAGGTCCTCAGATTAGTGTTAGGATACACTCTGCTTGAAGCAGATTTCGAATTGAGATATCCAAACTCCGTTCAAGCATTATCTTCTGATTGGAACCTAAAACAAGCAGCATTACTAAAATTGATAGGACTAGAATGTCATTCTGCAGAAATAAAAGATACTATTGACAACTTTAAGTCATTTACAAACGGTATACTAGAATATTTTACACTTTGTATGAATAATACTGATTCCTAGTTTTACATTTTATTAAATATCACATATTTTTAGATGAAAAAGATAATTTACTTTTTCAACTGCTGCCTTACCTATTTCCTAAGCAGCCAAAGTCAAGGGGTAAAAAAAGTCAGTCGATTACACCCCGTCCAACGCAAATAGAATCTCAAGAAGCTTTTATTCTCCATGTGAAAGTATGTTAGGAAAATTTTTATGTTTTTGTAAAAAAGCATAATAAAAAAACAATCAAACAATTGAGCTGCCGGATCAAAGAAGGGCACATAACCCATTTGAATTACATTGGTTATGTGCCCTTCTTTGATCCGACAGCTTAATTAATTTAATTATCTTAATTATTTAATTTAATTAAATTTAATTAATAAAAAATTAAATTAAAAAACAAATAATAAATCATTTTGCATTGTAGTCACCTAATGACATTGATCCTGCCATAATGAGACGATTAAATCAAATGAAAAAAAAAGAGAAACTTCAACCTTTCATTCTATGTGTTGGAACAACTCGTGCAAAATTGTCAAGAAGTTATTGTATTATCGACACCATCAAGTACGAATTCCCCAACTTGAAAAAAGCTTTCGACGTTTGCTTTAAAGCCATCTTTGCTCTTCATACGGAATATTCACAAGAAGCTTATCAGCCTTGGCTCTTTGTTCAACAAGCTCTATACGATATTTTTACAGAGTATGATAAGAAGAGCGCAAATATTTCGACAATGGTGGGCAATTTTAAAACTTTAGTGAATATTCAGCGTACAACTGAAATTGTAAATTTAGAAGAGCATTAGAACGACATTAACTTTTGCATTAGAATTTGTTAATACTTTAATTTCTCTAAAACGGAATTTGAAGTGATATCGTTTTTATTTTCATCGTATTAAATCTTACAATACTCGAATTAAAATTAACAAAATGGTCTACTCGTGTTTCGCGTGTAAACATTTTCAATGCCTCAATGTGGACAACTTAATTTTTCATATAAAACTTTGTCACAAATCAGTTGATATATATAGATGTACAAACTCTAATTGTTTAAGATCCTATAAGAGTTTAAAATCGTTCATAAAACATTTCAAGGATAAAATATTACATTCCGAATACTCAGAAGTCGATAAAGGTAATTCCTCTTCCTCAGTTTTCATTAAAATGAATTTTGATGATAAAACTAGCACTGATTCCATTTCTTTTTGTGATAATGACAATGATAAGTTTGAGGATAGTTCGAAAAATGTAGAGTACAATCCTACCAATATTGAGCTTAAGGAAGACGTAGCAGATGCTGCTCTTTTATTTACGTCAAAACTATATTCATCTAGTATAGTGACTCGTAGCACAGTGCAAACTGTAGTGGAAGGTGTTTCAGAATTGTTAAGTGGTCCTTACATTTCATTTCTTGAAAAAAAAGTTTTAAATATTTTAAAATCAAATTCTGTGCCTGATAAAGACATTTTAGATATTCAAACTGGTTTTCAAACCATTTCAAATCCTTTCGATGGTCTAGAAACTGATTATTTGAGAATTCAGGCTTTCAAGGAAACGGGCATGTACATTGAACCAGAACCATATATCATTGGATCTGAATATGATACTAAAAAAGATGATCAAACAACACAACTTCAGCACTGTAATGTGTATGGTCAACATATCCCAATGAAGGAGGTTCTATCTCGTTTTCTTCAATTGCCTGGAGCACTCGAAAGTATTTTGAAAAATCTTGAAGAACTTTATAAATCAAAGAACGATGATTTAATTACAAATATTGTTCAAGGAGAAATGTGGCAAAAAAAGATTAAAAATTTTGGTGATAAAATAGTACTTCCAATTCTTCTTTATTTTGATGATTTTGAACCAGATAACGCTTTAGGATCACATGCCACAGATCATAAGATTGGTGCATTATATTATTCTATAGCTTGCCTTCCTCCAGAATTAATATCAAAAATTGAAAATATTTTCCTAGGTTTGCTTTTTCTATCAGAAAATAAAGTTTTCGGAAATGCTAATGTTTTTAAACCTATAATTGACGATCTTATTGATTTAGAAGTGAATGGAATAGAAATTAATGGACAGAGAATTTATTTTTGTCTTTGCGCAATTCTCGGGGATAATTTAGGACTTAACGAAATATTAGGATTTATTAAAGGATTCAACTCGAATTATCCTTGCAGAATATGTACCATTCACAAAGACAAACTTCACTCGCAATTATTTGTTGACCACTCTCTTCTCCGAAATTCTAAAAATTACATTGATGACGTTGAGACAAATAATGCAACAGAAACTGGAATTCATGAAATGTGTATGTTAAATAGAATTCCTAGTTACGTTGACCCAACTGAAAATCCTCATTTAGATATTATGCATGACGTTTTTGAAGGCGTTGCAAGATATGATATGGGTGAAATTATTTATTACATTGTAGTGGTTAAGAAATTCCTTAATCTTCTCACTTTAAACGAACGTATTCGAAGTTTTGATTATTCTTTAACAGATGATGGAAATGTTATCCCTACCATCTCGGAAGAAAACTTGCGCTCAAAAAATATAAAGTTATCTGCATCAGAAATGCTAACTCTTGTTAGAAATTTTGCTCTAATGGTCGGAGATTACATTCCTGAGGATGATCCCGTCTGGTGTTTTTTCTTAAGACTTAGGGAAATTGTTGATTTTATAACAGCTCCCTATGTTAACAAGGAAATGACAGAATATTTAAGGGTAATAATATCCGAGCACAATGAAATGTACATCTCGCAATTTGAGCAAACCCTTAAACCAAAATTTCACAACATGGAGCATATTCCTGACTTGCAACCGATACTTGGACCTTTGATTTTTATTGAATCTCGTCGTTGGGAGTCGAATCACAGACCTTTTAAACAAGCTGCTCATGTTTCTAATTCGAGAACTAATTTGCCATTGTCGTTGGCTACGCGATTTCAATTAAAACAATGCAGTAGATTTCTTGCAAACGAACCTTTATACATTGATCTTGTTTGTGGACCCATTTCGCGTAATAATGAGACACTTCATTCTGTTAAGGAATATTCTATGTTTAGAAATATCTTGCCGAATACATTAACGCAATCAAAAAGTACAGTAATAAACTGGGTTTTAATAAAAGGCACAAAGTACGAAACAAATGTCGCAATTGTATTGGGCTTCAAAAACGAACTCCCTCAATTTGGTTTAGTAAGATTTATTGTACTACAAGAAAATACTGTCTATTTTATTTTGTCGTTGATCAAAACAATAGGGTTTAATAATCATTTTTACTCATACGAATTGACAGATACGAAAAAATGGAAGTGTTGTCAATATAAAGATTTTTTTTATTATCTTCCACATAAGATAATAATAGCGCCCCGAAGTGGATCAAAAATGATAACACCTAAATTTAAATTTTAAATTTATGTACATGGTTATTTAAATAAATTTATAACTTGTAATCCATGTTGTATATTTTTTTATCATTTTTAGAGTTTAAAAAAAATAAAAGTTTAAAAATATATTGATGTATTTATTTATTTATAAAAAGTATTTACAATTAAAATTAAATTTAAAAGAAAAAAGATACTAATTTATTTTTTAGTAAAAATTAATGTAAAAATAAAATACAAAATATTGTGTGCAATTAATACTTAAAAAATACATAAAAAAATAAAATAAAATTCATAAAATTCATTCAGTTTCAAAAAACCACTTTTTTACATTAATTATTTAATTAACAAATTCTTCACTGCAAATTAAAGTTTTAATTTATAAAAACTTATTTCTGTTTAAATTAAAAACTGTCATAAATGTACTGTAATAAATTTATCAACAATGTTATGTGTTTAACATCTATTTTTTCTAGGGTTAGAATTTAATAATATTGCAATGAGAATTTAATATTTCAGCAATTTAACCTTTAAATTTTTTTAAATATATATTCACTTTAAATTAAATAATCCATAAGCCCTTTTTCACTTTTATACTGAGTACTTTATTTTAAAATTAACAAAAACTAAAAACATTTTAACAAACTGAAAATTTTTGGTAATTTATTGTATAGAAACTCAGCTCGTGTTTTCGCCGTCAATATTTTTTTTTCAAAAATGGTTCCTTTCACTATAAATTACATAATCCAAATAATAACAGGTAAATTAACCCATAAATTGCTTTTAACCAAGTAAAGAAGGTTGACATTTCTGAATTTGACGTAAGATTGAAACAAGATGAATAAATCTTATTTTGAAATTATTCCTCTCAAAATATAAGAGAGGAAAATCCTCTCAATTTGATATTAAAACTTTAGTGCCCATATATAAAAGGAAAAGTTGCTGCAAAAGAAGAGGAATCCTCTAAATTTGAGAACTTTTTTTTTTCGGTGTATATATATGGAAAATTCACAGAGATTTAAATAGGAAAATAGTTTGGATTTAAACTTCCGTTTCTACTGCTACAATTTTTTTTTCAAACTTGTCTTATATTTTCATACAACAGTTAGATATTTTTTTTTCTTTTAAACAATGACAACAATTTATTTTACATATTATTATTATTATTATAATAATGTGTCTGACAAAAACTTTCTTTTACTACTGGTACTAAAATTACGAAAATAAAATTGTCTGACTAAAACTATCTTTTACTACTAATACTAAATTTACAACAAAATAATTATAATTTGTCTAGCTAATACTGTTTTTTACTACTAGTATGAAAATTACCAAAAAATAATTTGTCAGATTATAACTAAATTCATATACTAGTACCAAAGGAACAATTTGTATATTTCTTGTCTGACTAAAACTTTCTTTTACTACTTGTACTAAAATTAAACAAAATAAAATTATTTAACTTAAATTTTACTACTAAAATTAAATTACCAAATTTTCCCAAATTTCCAATTTTTTAGTTAGAAAATAAAGATTTCATTTTACAAAAATAAAAAGGATATACATTTTGCATTTGCCTGGGAAAAAAAGAAACTAAAAGATTCGAGATTGAACGAAATTCTATATATATATATCAATGTTTGTGTGTATGTATATCGACAAATCCGGAAGCTTGTGTGAATTCACATGAAGATAGCACACACAAGACTTGAACAAGGGTAACACGTGGGATGGGTAATGGCGGCTCATATCAGTCCTGTACACTCGGTGCGGGCAATGCCGACACGATATCACAATGAGTTACGTCGATGGTACCCCCGTGTGTGGTGCGCCAACACTTTGCATACACTAGGTATATTCGTTCAAACTTTCAATGTATAGTTAGAATACCATGTCGTTAACACACAGTCTCAATAACATTCGATATTTTAATTATAACAAAAATAATAATAATAATAATAATTCAAATATACTCCACAATATTAATATTATTTTTCTAGAAAACAATTGGTTTTCTTTCATGAAAGCAAAATTATTCGGAATCAAAAAAAACCATAGCATACTTTTCCATGACAACAATTACCATAGCAGTTTCCATAGTAACAGTTTCTATAGTTAAAAAGTTACCATTCTAACAGTTTCCATAGTAACAGTTTCCATTGTTTAAGTTACCATTGTAACAGTTCCCGTAAAAACAGTTTCCATAGTTAAAGTTACCATTGTAACAGTTTTCATAGTAACAGTTTCCATAGTAACATTTTTCATAGTTAAAGTTACCATTGTAACAGTTTCCATAGTTAAAGTTACCATTGTAACAGTTTCCAGAGTTAAAGTTACCATAGTAAAACTTTCCATAGTTAAAATTACCATAGTTACCATAGTTAAAGTTACCATTCTAACAGTTTCCATAGTAACAGTTT